AAACTATTAAATATCTGCAAACAAAGATTGATCAAGATTATAAGACAGAAAGACCTTCAACTCTTCAGAGAATGGTAGGGTTAATATTGTGATAATGGCTACCTTACCAAGAACAGTTTATAGATCCAATGAAATTCCAATACTAGTCCTCAGGACATTCTTAACAAAAATAGGAAAAAATCTTAGTATTCATATGGAAACACAAAGGACCCCAGATAGCAAATCAATCCTGAACAAAAGGAACAATGCTGGAGGCTAGCCATACCACATTTCTCGAGCTATCTTATAGAGCTATGGTGATAAAAATAGTGTGGTATTAACATAAAACAGACATTTAGATCAATGGAACAAAATAGAAGGCCAAAAGCATAGGAGTCCACAAAATTATAGCTAATGAAAGCTAACCAAAATATGGTGTTGGGGCAATTGGATGTCCACACATACAACAATAAACTGGACTGATAGCAATCACCCTGCACAAAAATCTACTCCAAATGGGTCAAAGTTCAATATGAAACCTGAAATGCTGAAATCAGAAGAAAATATACCTACCAGATATAAGAACTACCAGATATAAGAACTTTATGAACAGGATTCCATTAATTGTTGGAAATTAAGACCAACAATTGACAAATGGGACCCCATAAAACGACATTGCTTCTCTACAGCAGAGGAAATACTTGAGTAAATGGGAAACCCACATAATGAGCACATTTGCTAGCTATATATCTGATAAGAGGATTAATATTCAGAACGTGCAAAGAACTCAGAAAATGAAGAATTGAGAAAGTAAATGACCCGATAAACAACACAGGCTACGGATCTGAATAGAGTTCTCAAAAGAAGAAACAGAAATGGCTAAGGAACACACAGGCTTTCAACATACTCTCCAGTCAGAGAAATGCAAATTCAAACTTCTCTCAGTGCTTGTCTCCTCCTCAGCCAGGATGGCTAAGATTAAGGAAACATTTGGCAACACATATTGGCAAGGTTGTGGGGAAAGGGAAACCCTCACTCATTGTTGGGCTAGCTACTCTGGAAATCAGTGTAGAAATTGCCTAAAAAGTTGGAATTGAATCTACCTATGACCTAGCTACATCATTTCTTGATAAGTATCAAAAGGACTCAATATCTTACCCCTAAGAATTCTTGTTCAGCCATGTTCATTCCTGCTGTATTTATGACAGAGGGAATGAAATCAACATAAATGTTCTTCAGCTGCTGGACAATCAAGTATAGTATATGTATACACTGGAACTCTATTCAGCTCAGAAGTAAAATAAAATTATGAAATTTAAAGGTTAATAGATGGAACTGGAACTGAAATCTATACTGAATTGAGGGGACCGGATCCAGATAGATTTGAATATATGACCTGACATTTCTGAAGATGCTAGGGAAATAGGGAGGAGCCCAGGGGAAGAGTGACAGATGGAGCTTTAGAGAGCAGAGCAGGAAGAAACAGTGCTATGAAGCAGGTAATGGGAAAATGGAGGTGGAACAGAAGGGGGGTGATATAGGAGGAAAGAGAAGAAGCAGAGAGATGTTTGATAAGGCCATAAGGTAGCATACAGTTTAGTACTTAAAAGTGTTTGTGTGTGTGTGTGTGTGTGTGTGTTTTAAATGGTGTTAGGGCAGATGGGGTAATGATATTGCTCACAAGAGTCCTGTACTATCTAACAAAAATCTAGTTCCAGGAATGAGAAACTTCCCATTGAGTTGTTTATTAGAGTAGTACTTGTGTTTTCCAACACCACATCTGCTATTGGTATTGCCTTAACTCTTGGTTTCCTTCCAGAAGCTGACTGTAAGATGCTGTGCTGAAGGTAGCCCACACTTCAGATAGAGGACTTTTAGGAGTTGAGCTGGAACAGATATTGAAGCCATGTCTCAGAGGTCTAGCTCTATAGCATCCAAAGGTCCTGCAAGTTCCCAAGGGAGAGGAGCTGTCTGTAGTAGTCTAACCTAGCTGTAAAGCCTATGTATACTGGCAATGATCAGCTCAGCAAAATATCTGCATGGTGTGATCTTGGCACCTTTATCTTGAGGATAACCATCAGCTGTCTAATTGGACTCAATAGGAAAAGATTCATGCCTAGTACTATAATCTAGCCAGCTACCTATAGCTGGAGAGATCACAGACCTGTCACAAGAACCTACTACTTCTATTTTCCAAAACTAATATAAATTATAACTATATTAAAATGACATCTTATCTTTAAACCCATAGACAATTATAGCTCTCATCTCCCATCAGCACACATTGATCTGTATAAGGATTCAAGTTAGTGAAACTTCAGAAGATAATGGGCTGTAGGTTGCCCATTCTATATTTTTATATCAGCAACACAATCCCTATATCTAATGCTCAGGGGAAAATCACAGAAGTGGGGACATAAATGTGGTAAGAGTCAGAGGCCCAGAATGTCTCTTGTTAGATAATGTCCCCTCTCATTCCAGGAACAAGACACCCATGAAATCTCAACAATATGATTGCTTGAAAAAAGAATAGGATAATGACAATCCTAGATATGTCAATGTGGATGGGGAATTGCATATGAGCTAACGTCCAGATGAATGTTCAATAGCTGCTCACAGAGGGAGAAATAATTTCTTTTAGAGACAAGCTCCTACATGGAATGTCCAATCCCAAGTGGTCAGCTCTGGACAGGCGCTTAGAAGCAATGGTAAATGGATTTCAGTTGTGTGTGATGAACAAGCCAGTAAGTAGCACTCCTGCAAGACTTCTGTTTCAGCTCCTGCCTTGTTTAAGTTTCTTATCCTGGATTCCCTCAGTGATAGACTGTTACCTGGAAGTTTAAGATAAAAGAGAACCTTTTCTCCCCAAATTGCTTTTGACCATGGTGTTTTATCACAGTAATAGAAACCCTAAGACAACTTCTAAGAGGCTACCTGGAGACTGAGCGAGACGTCTCTCTCACGCTCAAGTTTCTTATTTCTTGACCCCGATAATCAAGGTTTTAGATGTCAAGGTATAGTAGTTGATTTGTGGAAATGAAGCTAGCTAGTATTTGCATGTTAGTAACTTCACATCCATTGAAATTCAGATTAGTAATAAAAATTCTGTATATAGAAAGTATAATAATGATGCAAGAAGAAAATAAGTCAGAAATTGAGCTTCTTCAAGTAAGAAACATTTGAAAATTAAATTTTAGGTTTAGGCTGATATTTGCCTGCACATGATTTTAGCTTGCATGGAGAAGGTAGAAGACATCCACAAATGCCGAATAGGATAGCGAACAAACTATGACTCAAATCCACCCCTTTGCTTTCTGGACGTAGTGGTATACAGCTTTAATCCTCTCATCTCCCAAGTGCTGTGTGAAGAGTGTAGTTCACCTATTTTCTTCACAACTAAAGAAAACAGGTACCTTTAACTTTACCTCCAATCATGACTGAACGCGTTATGCATTTGCTTGTCTGAAGGACTTTGGGATTGATTTTTCATATCATATCTTCATCCTTTGTTTAAGATCTAGTGCTTACCCTTTCATTGCTTGGATCAAAGTGTGCCCTGTAAGTTAACGGTCTGGCCGTGCTCTTCTGATCTCGTCAAAGAAAGGCCAGGTGCTTGCAATGGCCCAGTGTCTTCATGTATTTTCCTCTTTGTGTGAAGTTCTTCCTTCAGAAGGACCCCACTGTCTTCAAGTGCCACCTCGGTCTCTCTTTTGCTGACAGTCCTATGTACTGTAGCAGCCCTCCACACTCCCGTCCCATGGTTCTTTTCTCAAGTGCCCCACTTTCCATTTCCCCATTGCATGCATCACCCTTCATGTGTGCTCATGTGATTGTCATGCTTCCTCCCCAGGTTACTGCCCATGAGCTAATGAAGTGTGACTCAAACCCAGTTCTTTGCTTACTTTTATATTACCTATCGAGTGGGATGCAATTGGTTAGGTATGGTGGTATGTGGCTTTATTCTCAGTATTCAACAGGCAAAGACAGGAGGATCTCTTTGATTTTAAGGCCAACCTGGTCTACATAAGGAGTTTGAAGCCAGCCTGGACTACACAGTGAAACCCTGTCTTAAAGAAAAGAAAAAATGAATATGCTCTGTGTTCTTAAGTAGTTAGAAAAAATTTCACAAAATATTATTTCATAACACTTTAGAATTATGTAAAATCCCTATTCAATATCTATCAGTACTTTGTTGGACAGTTCCAACTGATCAATGCCTGTAGTCTATGTCTGTAACTGTGAATGACATTTGAATATAGCCACTGCCCTGCACACAAAGCTCAGAGTCTGTCCTATACTTAATTCTTTGCAAAGAAAGCCTTCCAGTTCTTGCTTTAGAGTGAAAGGTCTGTTAGGTCCAGGTATGGTGACTGTGTTATCAAATTATACAACTTATTCTGAAAATATTTGCACTGTATAAATATGTTAAAGCATTATGCTACTCTCCCCCTGAGCTGATGTATTGACTATGTCACTTGCAAACTTTTCTCAGGTCTTAAATAATGAACTCATGTGTTTAAAAATGAGAAACACAATAACTTCCTAATGATTATATGCTTCCATTTAACTGAACATTTCTGTTGAACAATTTTTGCTTTTAAAAACAGGTTACCTGCATTTAAAAATGTAACGAAGGTTAAATTCTGATCTTGACATGCAGTGATTTTAATCAGCATTCATTTGAAAAACTATTCAGTGGCATTAACAAAGCATGCTTATTTAACATGCATGAATTCATGGGCAGTGGGTGTACCTAATGTCATGGCATTTTTATAACCTCAGAAAATAAAAAGCAGGGATACAGAATTCCCCACCATAGAAGCCTTTGTATGTGTTTTCTTTGCCTACTGAAAGTGAGGAATGGAAAGGCGAGTTGGGTGTGAAAAGTTGACTTTGTGAAGTTAATTATAGACATAGGTTCCAACTGATAAACCAGATACACATGATCTGGACAGGCCAGGCCTCTCTGGTTCTCTTTGGTGGTATAAGGTCAAATGCTCACTTGGTTTCATTTGTTTTAGGTGACCCGGTAGCAGACACAGAAGTGTTTTGACCCTGAGGGGCATCGGGATGCAGAGCTGTGCTGTGTGGATTACCAGACTAGTGAGAACTCACCTTGGCACTTACTCAGAAGTTCATAGCTGCAATTTGTGCAACATGGAAAGTGGCATTTATGTGACTGTCCCTGTTTCTCTGCTTTGTGATCGCATCACACTGACTACAGCTATAGGTGGCCACTCAACTGATGTGTTACCTGGAGCTCAAAAGGAGCCCAGCACAAGAAATGCTGGAGGAGACATCAGAGGTGCCAGCGTGGAGCAGCTTTGGCAGAATCTGGATTTTCTCTTTCTCCTTTTCTCAAGGAAAATGGACAGGAAGTACAACGTGACCCAAGCTGTTCCTCTTTTAAATGTGTCCTTTAGCCATTATGCAGAAGGCAGGAAGGATGTCTAAATCACAGGAGATTTGGCTCACATACGTATGTTCTAGATTAAAGAACTCGAATTATCTGGTGCAGGAAATTAATTTTATGAACCTCGGAGAATGGAAGGACTCATTGGGTTACTACGTGCACATTTGTATTTTTTACTTTTGATAATTTAACATGTTTCTTCTTAGTTCCATTCCTACATTAGCAGAGATGCAGCAGAGGCTTTTTAACCCTGGTACTCTGGTGGCTGAGTTCTAAGGAAAGCATGGTAGTACTGGAGTTTTATAACCAAAGCTTTATCATGACATATTCACAAAGGACCATAAACCTGTTGGGATTTTATGGCTTACGGATCACGAAATAGGAAAATCATTTAAGACATAGGACGGTCTCTGTTTAGAGGAAGGGTGATTTCTTAGATTCACTTTATGACAATTCTATGGAAAAAATTTTTTTTTATCTCCCAGGAGTCTTTAAATGCTAACTATCCACCTTATCATTGATGTGAGCTTAACAGGGTCCCTTCTGTACCCATTTGTCAGCTTTCTTACGTCTTTAAATGTTAAGTAAAACCTCAGTCATTTTTCCACCTATTTCAGTGATTTCATAGATACTGACGTGCAGAAAGATAAGAAACAAAGACACTGGCCCAGGTTTGAAGTGAGATGTTATTCATGCACATGCATCTGTAATGTGGGATTGAGTGTATGTATTAAGAAATGTTGACAATACTGTCTGTCCTTTTGCAATTACAAGGAAACATCAGTTCCATTATATCGTCTACAGTGCTATCAATTATTTGATTTTATTCTTGCAGAAGAAGTGGAAATGGGTGCTACTTGTTTATTGGTTAAACGTTGGCTTGAATTTGACTGACTGGGTGCCTATCAGAATGGTTATTCTCATATGACTAAGTAAAATATCACTCTGTGGATGGCATATAAGATCTTGTGATTATTTACTTGGTATCTCAAGATTTTGTGTTCGTGACACAAGCTTGCAAATGTTCCTTTAGACATAAATATGAAATTGGGTTACTTTAAATTTAACTCGGGGATAGGACTAATGTAGGTCATTACTTTTAAGATTTGCATCTTAGAAAAGGGGTGTTGAGAACCCAGTAAGGCTTGGATAGATTCTTGATGTCCTGTGTGTCCTCTGCTGTCACAAGCATAAGCCTTCCCATTGTTAAAGAGCTTTAGAAAGGTAAGGAGACTTTGCAGTACATGAAACACCGTGTTAGTTTGTAACCCTCACATTTGATCTTGTACCAGAAAGCAGAATAAGTGATAAAGACACTATTTTACCTTGGGGAACGTTTTTTAGGGACTAAACTATTTCCAGGGAATAAATGCTCCATTAGAGAAAATGGAAGGTCTGGAAAGAGCTATTCCATCCATTATTTCTTCAGTGTGCTTTTTATGTAGTTCCAAAGTGAGCCCTGAACTGGGGCTTTGAGGCTCATCCTAATGTTATCATTCCCCTTTCTATAGGAAAGGTGGTAGGAGACATTTCTGTGTTTCCACAGAATTTAGAATCAAGTTTCGGAGGGAGTGATGCAGCTTTCAATCAATTACCCTTCAGGCAGAGCTTAAGGGTTTTCTGTTTTTGTTTTTAGAAATTTAAAACACACAGCTGCCCATCCAGTGATATACATGAAGCCCAGTTTAACAAAACCAGTGACCAGTGTGATTATACAGCTGTCCCTCATGTCCAGATGTCACATTCCATGTGAATGGAACATCATCACCTGTACTTGGAAAAGAAATAGCATTAAGTTCAACAAATCTAACCCACCCTGTGATTGTCTCCACTTACTCTGACAGTTTCTTCATCCCTATACAAATGATTCCTGGGAGATCTTTATGAATATTTCCATTTTATTGAGGAGGATTTTCAGATCTATCGATATTGGACTTGGTCAATATCGATACTTCTTGTATCGAAAGTAAGACAATGAGGGGCCGTGATAAAATACAGAAAATTTCTTTGAGAACTTTTAAAATATCACAGATTGTTCCACATGGCAACCGTCATAGGCATGGATTAGCTTTTGCATCTGGCTGTCTGTGGTCATGTTTGTACCTGTGTTAAAAGTGTTTGCAATCGGTGCCTGTATACTTTGTTACCATCTAAAAAGTGTCAATATCCTGAAAGTGATAAACTGCTAACATTTAAAAAGTGAGACAATTATTCATAGCTGATTTTCTCCTTGAGGTGAAGTAACTATTCTTTGTTAGTTAAAGGCAATTGTTAGTTTGAGAGAGTATTACACATACTGAATTACCATGTGGTTATGCTTGGCTAGAGGCTGCCTGGAAGATTACATGGACTAATGTAATCTGGCCAGTTACCAGGAGCTTTGGGCAGAACCTAGCATATGCTGGTTGCATACGTGTTAATAGGTAGGCTTCTCCTCTGTCTACATTCATCATTGCATAGCCAGCTTCCTTCTGCATTTTTGCATATCCTCTTACATTTTCCACCATGAGAAAGTGCTGCTATGCAAGACTGAAGCCCAGCTCCTGAAACGGCAATAAGACCAAGCTTAGTACCAATGTCTGTTTCTCAAATGGCCTTTACAGAGCTGGGAGCTCACTCTGCATGTTAAGTGTGGACTATCAGGGGGCCTCAGAAATAAGGATGAAGCCAATGCCATGCTCAGGACTACTTCTACCATATAGCACCTCTCTGAAATCAGAGACACACTATTCAGAGCTGCATGTCAAGTATGTGGACTATTATACACTAGAGGCTGGCAAGCTGAGACTCATGGGTCACATCTGGCTGGCTTATTTGTGTAAACACAAAATTATCAAACCCATCCACATCCATTTTTTATATATTATCCCTGGATACTGCTGCCCTGCAAAAGCAGAATAAACTGTCTGTGGCAAATATTTTATGATATTCAATGTCTAAAACATCCACTCTCTGGCTCATTGCAGAAGCAGCTTTCCAGTTCTTGTTATATGTAACACAAAGGCATGACCCTTCAAGTCGAGTTCCCCAGAACAGTGCAGGATAGTAGCAAAAGGCTCAAGTGCTGCGGGCAAACAAAATGCTTTGAATAATGCTTCTGCTCTTTATTCCTAAGGTTTTTTTTATTAATTATTTTATTTATTTACATTTCAAATGTGTTCCCCTTCCCAGTCCCCTCTCCATAAACCCCACCCCATACCCCCTCCACTTTACTTCTAAGAGGGTGATCCCTTACTTATCCATCCACTCCCACCTCACCCCTCTAGTATCCCACTTGTCTGGGGAATCAAGCCTTCACAGGAACAAGTCCCACTAAGGCCAGACAAGGCAGTCCTCTGCTACATATGTAGCAGTGGCCATGGACCAGTCCATGTATGCCCTTTGGTTGGTGGCTTAGTCTCTGAGATCTTTGAGGGGCCCAGTTAGTTGATACTGTTGTTCTTCCTATGGGGAAGCCATCCCCTTCAGCTCCTTCACTCCTTCCCTTAACTCTTCTATAGGGATCCCCAAGCTCAGTTCAATGGTTGGCTATAAGTATCTACATCTGTGTCAGTCAGCGGCTGGTAGAACCTCTCATATTCCTAAGGTTTTATACTCCCTAAATCTCAAGTTTCTTGAAAGGAGAACAATGAGATTTCCCATCATCCACCTATCACCCTTCTGTCTTAAAGAATGGTTGAGATGAGGAAGTTTACAAAAGAAAGTGCCTTCTTTGTTGTGGCTATGGAGTCCAAAGCCATAGTGATGGCATCTGCAAAGCCTCAACACACTCTAAGGTGTAAGGAGCAGCAGATGCTTCACAATCAGGCCATATAGACATGGTGGCTCCTACTTTTAAATAACACACCCTCAAAGTAACTGATTTAGGCCTTTGGGAGCAAAGACTGACTCTGGAGGGAAAGGCCTCGATTCCTGTTTTGTGTGGTGGTATTAGATACTAAGTCTAAAGCCCTGAATGTACCAGGTGAGTGATCCACTGTTCTTTTTAAGAACCTAGTCAACTCTCAATACTCCATCTCACAACAAAATGGCAAACAAATTTCCACGTGTATTTTCATGTGGTTTTAGCCAAAAGGCTGAAACTTAATCAACCTACATTTAGAAGGAGGATATAAGCCATATTCAAACCACAGAAACCTCATAGTTTTTGTTAAAAAAAAATGGACCACAACTAACCATGGTAGTTAAAAACAAAAACAAAATCAAAATCAAAACAGACAAATCCTTACCTGATTTACTTCCTACAGACAGAAAACCACACAGCCCTTCTACAAAACTGAGGCCTGCTATCTAAAGGCTCACAGCTTACAGAAGTCTGGGCAAAAACATGATGAGACACCCCAGCATTCTCTCCTTCTGCCAAAGACAATTCAAACTTTGAGACAGTGAAGAAAGGGCAAGCTAGAGCAGTGGTTCTCAACCTGTGGGTCCACACTCCCTTGGGGGTTTGAACAACCCTTTCCCAGGGGTCGCTTAAGATCATCATAGAACACAGATATTTATCACAATTCATAATGCTAGCAAAATTACAGTTATGAAGTAGCAGTGAAAATAACTATGGTTGGGGTCACCACAATAAGAAGAACTGTATTAAAAGTTCACAGCGTTGGGAAGGGTGAGAACCACTGAGCTAGAGGGATAGCCCAGGCAGTAAGCCTGCCAATCTGTGAGAAAGGCTGGAGGGACAAAACTTATCCTGATTTGAGTCTGGACTGGGAATATGAGGCATAAACCAAGTACCGTCTCTGTTCTTTCAAGTTCACCCTTTAAAACTTCCACTTGGGTCCAGCTTCCTCATGAAAGGAAACAATCGTTTCAGGTTACAAAGTAATCTTGTAAACAGAAACTTTGAACAAAAGAGCCCTGTAAATAATGGATGAGCACTTACTGAAGTGAGTTGGGCAGTCCTCACAGTATTGATTCAGGGCTGTGAACAAAACAGGCTCTGCGAGCTCTTCCTTCAGTCTCTTCCTCTCCAGTTTGGAGCCATCAATATTCACAGCCCACTCTCGTGCCAGGAATATATAACTAGGCAGCCCTTGCCTTGTGTGTTGAGGCTTTTGCTCTCTGTAGAGCAGGTCTCTGACCCATCTTTAATCGTCACCTTTGATTCTTTTAATGAGGAGTTATCTAAATAGTTCAAGACACTGAATTATTAATTTAATAACTGTAATTAACCACCAGGAAATGGAAGTGAGCAAATGGACTTCAATCATTTAATTCAAAACCTGAAATCCTACCCTCACTCATGTAGATTTGGTTTCTGAAATCTCTTCTGCCTTCTTTGAATTTCATGTTTAGCCTGCCTCTCTCTCTCTCTCTCTCTCTCTGTCTCTCTCTCTCTCTTCCTCCCTCTCTCAGACACACACACACACACCCCCTCCACCCTCTCTTTCACCACCCACCCATCATCTACACTCACGTGCGCACACACACACACACACACACACACACACACACACACACCATGTTCTGTAGCCCACTTATAAACATAGAAAATAAAGTCTTGTTCTTCATATTTCAGCAGTATAACAACAGAAGAGAAAGCATTTAAGATGATCACCCATAGAGCTAGATCAGCTGATCATCTAGATTAACTTTTCTTCTAAACATGAGGAACTGAGTTTGAATCCTCAGAACCCATGTAAAAAGCATGTGTATGCATGTGCACATGCATGTGCTCACACACATACACATAGGTCACTTCTAGTTTCTCACACAAGAAAAGGAAATGCATAGGTTGGCTCAGTGGGGCCCAGAGATGAAACAAGAATCAAGGCCATGCTTTGGGATATTTAAATATTTATGAGTGCCATGTCTGACAGAAGACTGAAACTGACTCTTTATGTCACAGTAAAGAAACTGGGGCAGAGCCACCAGGTCTCAGTTGCGGAAAACTTACAACTATCAAAACTGTCAAAGTCAGAAAAGTTGGTATCAGATACTGGGGCACGCTG